GAGGTAATGAGGGTAAGATCCTCACTTGGAGAGAGAGGGGAAAAGGAGGTTAGTGTGTGGGTGAAGGATAGTCTGGTGACCCAGTGGTGAGTAAAGGTGAGATAAGATAAGAGGTACTTTATTGATCCCAAATTGGGAATGTTTGCGTTGCAGCAGCGTAAAAAACAACAAAACAAAACAAGGCATTGCACATAAGTAGAATTAAAGAGTAGAAATATACAATACTAGAATTTAAACATCTCAAAATACAATTAAATTAAGATCTCTTGTCGTAGAATTTAAAAATGTTGCAATAGTTGAATGAAGTCCTGAATGAGCCCTTAATGGATGAAGAGAAGCATTCATTTGCCCCTTCTTTCTTAATCTGGACATGTGTTCATACTGGGTGCTAAACTTGGATAGAAACGTGTTTATATAACGCTATTTTACCAGAAAAGGAACCTTAATTTACAAAATGACCATCAAGACCATTAACTTATGAGGAACATGTTTACTGGGGTGATGAATCAATTGAAAAGTAAGACGTTTTTGTTCATATATTTCTATACAATCAGAAAAGGGAAATATGGGAACAAATGAAATATCCACTCAAGAAATGCATTATTTTTGTCCAGCTTTGAGTAACCTGTGATCACTTGCTTTACACTCACCAGAGAAAACTCCCCATGTGAATCTGACCCCACACCGTTCGGAGATCAGTGAGTGTATTGTCTGTGTGTGTGTGTGTGTGTTGGGGCAGGGGAACACACACTCTCTGCGTCACAGAGTCAGTGAACGGGTCCTCGGCTCTTTGCATCCTCAGGATGTTTCTGTTTCCTCTGAGGCTGCATGCTAACACAACAACATCCACACACTGTCCCATGACTCAGTCACCTATTTCATGTGTTGCTTAACAGGTCTTGTTAGTGTGTGTGTGTGTGTGTGTGTGTGTGTGTGTGTGTGTGTGTGTGTGTGTGTGTGTGTGTGTGTGTGTGTGTGTGTGGGTGTCTTGGGGAGCTAAAAGAGTGAGGTGTTCTAGTGTGTAAGAGTGCGACATGGCTGGTTGGTCAACTGTTCGTTGGTATGATTCATGCCTGAAAGAGGCCATAGTTGTGCTCTCTGTTGACTTATTTGGACTATTATGAGAAGTGTTGCAACCTTTAGATATAGAGAGCACAAGATGAACATTAACCCTTAGATGCCCGAGTGACTGGACCTTACTCTCCTCCATAAGTGGGTCTAAAAGGACCCGTATTAGAATAATATGTGTTTGTATGCCATTGTTGTCATTTTAGTTAAGAGAAATCACCTGTATAATATTTAGTATTATATTTTGTTTCACACTAGAAATATTTTATATTTAATTTTTCACTATTTATAATTTTAGACATTTTTTTTACATTTTGAAAAAAAACGTTTTGAACATATCGATGCAAAGATCTCCGCTATTCTGAGACCCTCACAGTATTCCAGTCCCTTTTCAAAACTCATCTCCTCTTGTCTACTCAAAGCCCCCCCCCAATCAATCCATGCCGGTTGATCAAGGTTGATAGTCCTATACCCCCCACCCTAACCTTCGCTTATATTGTAAAGCGATTTTGAGTCCTTGAAAAGCCCTATACAAATATAATGTATTATTATGATACTGACAGGTATCAGATCTTGCCGTGTAAAATAATCTTCCTGAGAGGTGTCACTTGTGATGTCGTCTGTGTGGTGGTCCACAGTGAATGTATTCCTCACGGCAAAAGGTGATAAGAATCAAAGGTTCCCATAGGAAATGCATGCGGGTCATTTTTGACCCACTTATGGAAGCTTGGGGTAGAAATACAAAAACTACAATTTCTTAAAAAGCTAATTAAAAATGTGAATGGCATGATATCCAAAACATGTTTTTTGAGGAACAGCTGGAATATGAAATGATAACAAAAATATAATTACAAAGATACTTCAAGAAAACCACCTAATCGGGTCAAAAAAGACCCACTTATGCATCTAAGGGTTATTACCTCTACATAAGCAATCTGTCCAATTCAAATGATCCTCTAAGTCTTCAAAATCGCTCCAAAATGTATACAAATTAGCCATCCGAGTACAACTATTGACATTTTCTGGTTAAAGCCGACATATCTGATCCTGAAAATGTCAGAAATGGATTCAGCATCCTCAATTACCGCCAACATTTTCCAAATGGGCCAAGTCATTTTGTAACTATTGTCCCCAGGCTGTAATGGCCAGAGTTGTTCACTCTAAAGTGCACACCTCCGCCTTTTTCCTGCAATGTTTTTAATGCTTTTCCATTAAAGTAGTCGAGTGAGACTTTATAATACCACACTTACCTGAGACCTCCAATGACCTGACCTGCAAGGTACAATCCATATTTATTTGTATCATGGCCTATATTTGAGAATCTAGGTCACTGGGTGTTTCTCAAACGCGAGGATGCTGGCTTGGTAGTCGCGTACTTCCAAGTCACTTCCTTCAGAAACGAAGCAAGTATACTTCCAAGCCACGGCTTCGGAAAACGAAGAAGAATGGAACAGGCTAACAAGTGTGCCACTCTCTCTAACGGTTTCAACATAAACTGTACGGAAAATAAATACCTCACGATGTCTATCTAATTATGAACTTGCTTTACTTTCAGGAACACATTTATGGTGATAACAAATGTAACAAAGTAACATATTTACCAACACATGTTCTACGCCACTACACTTACATTGAAATGTGTGCTGCGTCGGTTCAGTCATTCTCCGCAAGGGTTTTTGAAATTGGTCCGTGCGCAAAGCATTGTGGGGATTTTAAGGACGCGAAGTCTACCCATGTGCAGCCTCGAAATTTCCCCCAAACCAAGGAAGGACGCGGCCTCGGTGGAATTCCAAGTATGCTGGAGATTGGAACAGTCCTTCGGCGGCACTCGATGACGTAGCATCCTTGAAATATTGGCTTGGAAGCCAGAATCCTCGAGATGGAGAAACGGCCACTGTGTGCATTGGCCATTAGTACATCGTGGAGTCTTTAAACACACGTTAGCACTGCATGCTGCTCTCATATAGAGAATTAGCACTGTGCTTAAATCTCTGACACATTCGAAGAGAGATGAATTATGCATGAGGCTTACTCCAACACTTAAGTGCAGAAAATGTGCATTCGTAACACATGAAGAGAGACCAACACATTCTGTTTATTTAATAACAAATACCCCATCAACATGTGAGAGAATGGTTTGCATAGGTACACTTTGAAGGTGTTATTGTTATAGCTCCTTCGATATGAAAAGGGTTCATAATTAACATTCAAAAACAGTGTGGAACTTTGATTTACTTTCAATACAAACGGCAGTGTTGCAGGATAACTTCTGGGAGGAATTGTAGCACTTTTTGTCATTTGTTTGTACATTTAAACAAAATGAAGATTTCAGTCACTCAGCACAATCCATAATCATGTAATTGTACGGACAGATATATCTAATCTAGCACATGTATGCTATTTTTAAGGAAATGCATTGAGAAGTAGCATTTTAGGAATGTCAAGAATAGCACCATGCCTGTGAAACATGTCTGCATGAAGGAAACGTAACTAACAGCACAGAGGTTATTGATTACAAAACATACCTTTTTATAATGAAATCACAGGTGTAAGGTTTCACATCATTTATGACTTCATTCCTTTGAGGTGTGCAGGTGAGAGACCCTGGACATTTGCATGATGACCCGTGAAAATACCTGACATGAATTATTAAAGTTATTAAAGAGTCCTCTCCTGCTGATGTTCAGATGTATATCAGTATGTAGTGTCTCTACTTTAAAGAGTGCTCTCCTGCTGATGTTCAGGTGTATATCAGTATGTAGTGTCTCTACTTTAAAGAGTCCTCTCCTGCTGATGTTCAGGTGTATATCAGTATGTAGTGTCTCTACTTTAAAGAGTCCTCTCCAGCTGATGATCAGGTGTATATCAGTATGTAGTGTCTCTACTTTAAAGAGTCCTCTCCTGCTGATGATCAGGTGTATATCAGTATGTAGTGTCTCTACTTTAAAGAGTCCTCTCCTGCTGATGTTCAGGTGTATATCAGTATGTAGTGTCTCTACTTTAAAGAGTCCTCTCCTGCTGATGTTCAGGGTGTATATCAGTATGTAGTGTCTCTACTTTAAAGAGTCCTCTCCTGCTGATGTTCAGGTGTATATCAGTATGTAGTGTCTCTACTTTAAAGAGTCCTCTCCTGCTGATGTTCAGGTGTATATCAGTATGTAGTGTCTCTACTTTAAAGAGTCCTCTCCTGCTGATGTTCAGGTGTATATCAGTATGTAGTGTCTCTACTTTAAAGAGTTCTCTCCTGCTGATGTTCAGGTGTATATCAGTATGTAGTGTCTCTACTTTAAAGAGTCCTCTCCTGCTGATGTTCAGGTGTATATCAGTATGTAGTGTCTCTACTTTAAAGAGTCCTCTCCTGCTGATGTTCAGGTGTATATCAGTATGTAGTGTCTCTACTTTAAAGAGTCCTCTCCTGCTGATGTTCAGGTGTATATCAGTATGTAGTGTCTCTACTTTAAAGAGTCCTCTCCTGCTGATGTTCAGGTGTATATCAGTATGTAGTGTCTCTACTTTAAAGAGTCCTCTCCTGCTGATGTTCAGGTGTATATCAGTATGTAGTGTCTCTACTTTAAAGAGTCCTCTCCTGCTGATGTTCAGATGTATATCAGTATGTAGTGTCTCTACTTTAAAGAGTCCTCTCCTGCTGATGTTCAGGTGTATATCAGTATGTAGTGTCTCTACTTTAAAGAGTCCTCTCCTGCTGATGTTCAGGTGTATATCAGTATGTAGGGGGGGGGGGGGTCAGGAGCTCCAACAAGCCGTTTAGGACAGAGAGTGAAAACACAGATACAGAGACGCTGTGAGAAACCAATGTGAGTTTGGAACATTGAACAATATAAATCTATTCTAGTCGACCTCAGCAATGGAATTATGATCAGTAGAAATGGCCGTGACATGGGACCTTTAATGTTCAAAAAGCTCTTTATTGTTCTCATACTGCCTCTTTTCACCCTCTGTCTGAAACCAGAGCCCAGTCTGCTCTGATTGGTTAGCTGGCCGGTCTGTTGTGATTGGTCAAACAGCGTAGAGATGTCCCGCCCCTTAGCCTATCACGGACAATGTGTCAGTGTTCCTGAAGTAAACAAAGGAGTGCAATGGAGGCGTTTCAGGCAGGGTTTTGAGCCTCTACAGACCATTTACATGCACTGAAATCTATAGAGCACTACAGGGGAGAAACCCCAGAAAGATGTATAGGGCCTCTTTAACTCAAATATGTCCAAAATGACCTGAGAAATATGGCTCAATGTAGCTTCAACATTCATTAAAGATCATAAACAAAATATGTAATGCAGCTGCAGTGAACCTTGGTACGGAAGAGGATAAGGGCCATTCGAAACCTTTCTTTGGATGTGACCTAACGTAAACAAAATGTGACTTTCTTCTCCGAATTCTGACTGTGGCGCTAATCCTCTTCCGTACGCTTGAATCCTTCATGGTGACAGATTTATGATCAGCTTTGTTTGTCCTTCAGTCCGTCCGCGTGTCAGTCTGTCCGGCCGGATCAGGAGCAGGAAGTGCCGGGTCGTGTGTGTGGGTGTGTGTGGGGGTTGATTATTGAAGTTTACGCCGCTGACTCCTCTCCAGATAGATCTGCTCGGTGAACGGTCTGTAAATACAGCAGAACAAACATTAATGGGACAATAAATCAGAGACTGGGAGGCCGTACCACTCTGTGCCAGGAGCGTGTGTGTGATGAAGCGTGACAGTGTGTGTGTGTGATAGGATGATGACTTGTGTCTCCACTCTGTGCCAGGAGCGTGTGTGTGATGAAGCGTGACAGTGTGTGTGTGTGATAGGACGATGACTTGTGTCTCCACTCTGTGCCAGGAGCGTGTGTGTGATGAAGCGTGACAGTGTGTGTGTGTGTGTGTGTGTGTGATAGGAAGATGACTTGTGTCTCCACTCTGTGCACATGGATGCACACACTAAAACCTGTGTCAAACCAACAGCAGGACAAGAGAACAGAAGTGTTATTTTATGATTATTATTAACTATGATTATTATTATTCTATTGTTAAAGCCAGGACAAGACTCAGACTCAGAGGTTGAATACAATATATCACAAATATTTGCATTTAAATCCACCCTCACACGGGCAAAAGAGCAAATCAAGACCCCACAACGTTCAGAACGTCCATCTGAGTTTATTTTAGGGATTTGAAAATAGATATGAAGGGAATTTAGATCATCATTTTGTGTCAGCTTTCTCAACACATCTCACTTTGCATCTGAGCTCAAAAACACTTCTTTCTCCATTCACTTTCCCCCTGCTGCTTTCCCTGTTTTCAGGTGTGTGTGTGTGGTGTGTGTGGTTGTGTGTGTGTGGTGTGTGTGTGGGTGTGTGTGTGTGTGTGTTGTGTGTGTGTTGTGTGTGTGTGTGTGTGTGTGTGATCAGCATCCAGCCGTCTGCATGTTCTCCTTCACATTTAGCTAAATGAGATCATTCAGAATCCAGAGGCAGCAGATAAATATAGATTTTGCATCTCTGGAACAGCGGCGGCTGAAATCATCCTGCTTTACCATCGAGTCACACAATCACCTGAACACCTGTGCTCCTCTTCACAGAGAGAGAGTGTGTGTGTGTGTGTGTGTGTGTGTGTGTGTGTGGGACATATCAGAAACACATGTTGGCAATTTGATTATTTATTATTTTCACAACTTATATTTTATTTTAGTGTATTATTCTTTGTTTTATGGATTTATTTTCATTATTATTATTATTTTCCAATGTATTTTATTCTAATACTAGTATTTCATTTAATCTATTTATTCTAATTATCTTCACACACACACACACACACACACACACACACACACACACACACACCACACACACACACACACACACACACACACACACACACACACACACACACACACACACACACACAGGTTACAGAGCACTAGCAGAGTGACCTTTACGGCCCGTCCACATGGCGGCGTGCGTTGAAGCTTGCCGGTGGGCGTGTCTGAAACTCGAACAACAACCAATCACATGAATCTCCCGCCCCGGACACACAAGCAGCGGTTTGATTGGCTAGAGCTTGTACTGGTATATGATTCGATTGGCTGACGCTTCTGCCGAGGCGTCAAAAGTTGAACATTGCTCAACTTTTGAAGCGAGCAAAGCTCCGCGTCGCTTCCCAAAATGCAGTTCGGCTGAAAGTGACGTCACCCCATTCAAAGCGAATGGGCAAAAGCGTTGGAAGCTTCAACGCACGCCGCTGTGTGGACGGGCCGTTAGAAAGTCAGAGCGTTGTTCTCTTTGCACGAAAGTCTTTGCTTCTTCCTCCGAGCGAAACACATGATACTGATCCCAGATCTGAGTGAATTCACCACACTGTCAATCACTCTGTGAGAAAGGAGGTAAGAAACTAATGAGTTTGATCAAAGTGTGGGAAAAAAGTGGACTGGGGGCAAACTGTGCTTAATAATTTACACATTTGCCACACTACTTAAGATAGAATCTATATGCCTTTAACACCACTTCACAAAGGCAGCATTTATGTTATATATAATAATCCTTTCATTGTAAAGGTTCCACTGTTCCTGTGCAGAATCCATGTTGCAAGCACACAAAGTGTCTGATTCTATGCAGCGCTGAGCCTCGTTTAACCTGGCTTGTGTGTATGCGCAGGGGTGCACGTAACTTTTTTGCCCTGGTTCTCAAAGGAGCACCTGGAGATGTTGCTTGGTGTGCATCCTTAAAATGAAATAAACCGGACCTTTTGAGGGGTTCTTGACTTTATGAACGGGGGGGGGGGGGGGGGCGAGGGATGGCAGATGCCGTCATGCACGCGGACGGATTAAGAAAATGAAACCTAAATGGCTCGTGCATTATTCTTTGGCGGCCGTTAATATGGCGCCCAAGTAAAGTCTAAGTGTGGGAATCTCTCTCTGTGTCTCT